ACTCTCCCTAAACTACGATAGAGGTTTGACCATCTGGCATAGTTTGCAACTTTGCTGGTGTCCACACCAGCAAATCGTAATGATGAGTTTCGCAAGAAGATGCGCCCTGCCATTCAACCCTACGTATCAATCCTGACCACTACGGATTTCTCTAAAGCTTATGATCTAATGGTCAAAGCTGAGAAGGATGTCGATGATTACAAAGCTAGCTTGAAGGCAGAAGAAGTTGGACCAAGTACGCACCCAACTGTGAGTGCCACGCTGAGTGCAAACATGCCGTTATGTGAGACCAGTAGCGCCTCTCATGCGAAGAAATGTAAGATTGTCCCGATTTACTCGTAGCGCCTCTCATGCGAAGAAATGTAAGATCGTCCCGATTTACTCCTCGCCAGCTCAGTCTGTGGCGTCTAGTGGTAAGTCAAAGACGTCTAGGTTTCCGCCGTATGCTACCTGTGGAAGGACACATCCAGGAGAGTTGGTACGATCAAGGATTGTGTCTAGGCTCTGGGCAGGCTAGAAACTTCCAAAGGAACTATCTCACTAGCCCGAGCACTACCCCAATGCAAGCACTGACTCGTAGTCAAACGACTGCACTGCAACCAATGCAAATTCTAAGTACGACTGTGAGAACAAATGGACAAAGGAATTAAAATCAGCCAGGGCGAGCTCCACCACGCACTTATGCAATGATAGGACGCACAGACCCTCAGGATAACGACACTTTTGATGGTACACTTCATAACTTAACTTGACTGCGATTAGTTGACTTACGTGCGTTTCAATGTGCTTATTTGTGTTCAATCGGTGTTCATGTGTTTTGAGTTGACACTAGATTAAGGAATTTCGGGGACAAAAGTTTTTTAAGGTGGAGAGGAATGTAACGACCCGAAAATTCGCTTAGTAGTTAGCCACTATTTTAATAAAAATAAATATAGTATTTATTTTCTAAAAATATGAAGTATATGTAAAGTTGACCTTTTTATTTAAAAATTAGGTTTTTGGGTAGATCTCGAAAAATGGTGACCCACGATATTAAGTTTGCTAAGTTTGGGCTTACGTGTAGAGCGTGATGAGAAAGATAGATGTTACATTTCAATAAATAAATATAAAGATATTTAATAATAAAATAATAAAATTTCCTAATTCCTAAGCCTACCCATTACGTAAAACCCTTCCCAACCCCACATTCCTATATATTAAAGGACATATAATCTAAGAACTATCAAAGAGACAAAGACCATTGGTACTAAAAAAGTCATTCCATCGTCATTTTTACGTCATTAAATTATGATCATTTTTAATACTAAAAAATGAGATGTAATAGAATATAGAGAATATATTATTTTACAGTACCAAACATCACTGTTTTACAAATTTCGAAAGACTTCTTTGTATACTACATTATTTGTACAATTTGTGGGAACATTGTCTTCGTTGCATATCAAAATTTTCAATCCACTACGATTGGTTACTCTTGAAACTGCAACATACAGTTGTCCATGGCTAAACACTAGTTTTCGTAACAGTAATCCAACATGTTTTAGAGATTCTCTCTGACTCTTGTTAATCGTCATTGCATACTAAGATTAGTACCTTTCTAAGTTTGAATTTCTTTAAAAAAATAAAACATTGAAAAATAGATGAAATAACATTAAAATTATTTAGACCATTGTTTTTTAGTTCATGCTTTTTAGTTTATGTATGGAGACTACTGTCAAGTTGCTAGTTCTTGGATCATCACTTGACCTTGATTGTGATGACACGATACTACAACTCTGGGTCAAATTATAACCACTTGACATTAACTTGCATGCTTAGAATTCACATAAATTTAAACCACGTACAATATATTTTAAAAAATTACAAATATCTAAGAATACATTTGGACTTACTTTTCTATGAAAGCTTTAACTTCATCAGAGTTGTTGTTGAGTAAAACTTTGCTCACAGAATAAAATGTTGTAACAGACACTTGTCCTAAAGTATAAAAAAATAAAAAATTAGAATTAATTCTTTGTGTATGTGTATTTCAAAATCATATTCGAATGAATTTATAAGAATACCATTGTATAACTTAGGTTTCATCATTTGCATCACCAAAATTGGAAGAGTCGAATCCATTGCATTCAAACTGTCAATCAAAACATTGACATGATTTTCCCATAGCGTACAATTTAACTGAACACCCCTACAAAAAAAGTTGAAATTAATATTAATATTTATCGAAAAATAAATAAATAATTAATAGATTTGTATTAGTAAAAAAATATATTTGCTATTAAATATTCAAAATATATATTTGCTTAATATAATTTTCCTTTTTTGGTGGCACTTGCCTTTTCGAAATGCATTTAGTAATTTAAAATATGAAATTATTTACTTTCTATAATACTGGATACAATTAAGATCTTTCCTAAATTAGGATATCCATTCTATTTTTAATTTTGAACATTTACGGTATTAATACCCTTTTATTGGCGTGAAATAAAAAATTGGGTTGAACATTTACGTTATAAAATAATATTGGAACGGAAATTAATACCCTTTTATTACTTACCAAGTAAATATCACAATTACCATATGTAATGGCATAATATCTTTTGAAACGGAAATGTAAAATTTTTAAACGGAAATTTTAATTTTTTATTTTAGAAACATAATTTTTTTTCTTTCCAAACAAATTTCCATTCTATTTTTATTTTTGAATATTTATGGTATTAATACCCTTTTATTGGCGTGAAATACAAAATTGGATTGAACATTTACGTAATAAAATATTATTGAAACGGAAATTAATAGCATTTTATTACTTACCATGTAAACATCACAATTACCATATATAATGGCATAACATCTCTTGAAACAGAAATTTAAAAATTTTAAATTCAAATTTTAAGTTTTTTTATTTTTGAAACAGAATTTTTTTTCTTTCCAAACAAATTTGCATTTTATTTTTATTTTTAAACATTTACGGTATTAATACCCTTTTATTTGCGTAGCATAAATTATCAATTGAAGCCTAAGAATTTGGTAATATTCAGATTAATAAAAACTATCAATTGAAGCCGTAACATAAATTAAACTAAGGAAAGAATACATGATATATGGAAAGAATAATTGAATCGCCACAAATCATGTTCTAATTGCTAAGGAATGGTGCAGGATGAGGAAAGGTCCGGGTTTTTTATGGCTAAGGAAACCTTATTTTATGAGTTGTGTGATTCTTTTTTTCCATTTAATTCTCTTGCCACCTCAATTTGCCATCTCCCAATTATCATTCTAAAGGTGACACATCAACTATGCCACATGTCACTCCCTAACTTTGCCCAATGTCACGTTTTTATAGCTTGGTGTCTGCTTTTTATATACGGAGTATAAAGGATAAAGGATTGTGAAAAAGATTAATTAAAAAAGCTATATCAAAATTATTAAATAATCTTATAGCTCAGACTAATATAACTCGAAACCTGGAAAACGTTATTTTATATCTAGACCAAATCCGAATAAAAATAAACCAAAACATGGGTGGATATAAATATGAATTTCGTAAGTCATTAGAGATAACTTTGAAACTTTTTCTCCATTTAAATTTTTGATGTATAAAAATAATAAAATGATAAAGTTAAAGTAAAATACTCTGTCCCATATAGAGAGGGGCATTTGATTAAAGTGGCAAAATAAGGAAAACATAATTTTGTTTTGACTTTCCAAAAATATCTTTGACGTGATAGGTAAAAGTAGTATGTGATGCGTAGATTATTAAAAAAAAAGTATGATGTGATAGGTAGGATATGAAAAAGTAAGGGGTAAAAATAGTTTTTAATAGAAATGAGAAGGAGATTGTAGAACACTTTTTTTTGAAACGTGTAGAACTTTTTGGGACGGAGGAAGTATGAATTAAATTAACTTTGAAAGATTAAATAGAAAAAGAAAAAATAGAGTGAATGTGTAATTGTATTTCGCTTAATTGAACAAGTAAGAAATCAATATGGTCAAAATGATAATAAAATAAAGATGAAAAATTGCAGTTTTGATCCTTATGACCTATTGGTGACGTGTAAAACACTTTAGGGTACTTTTTGTGTTACAACATGTATAATTGTGATACTTTTTGTAACAAATTGAATTTAGGGGAAATTGTCCCAAATTATTTCACCATTTCACCTCCTTCCAAAAGTAATCTTACTCTTCATTGTTAAAGAAAATAATCCCCCATTTTCTTCATGTTTGCATGTTTTAGGTCGCCGTTAGGATGCTAACGATTACTTAACAGAATATTAAAAAAATGCTTGTTTTTTTGCTAATAAATGAAAGGTGAGATTATTTTAGGTAAGTTTTCCTTTTGTTAATTTTTTGAATTTCTAACTTTAAATTTAAATGTATTTTTTAAAACGATTTTATAAATAATACCAAATTTAAGTTTTTTAGAGAAACTAATTATTTTTTCAATGATCGATAATCAGGTAATAATTCTTTTTTGATAATTCTGCATAAATGTTTTTTCAACATTATAACAATTGTGAAAATAACATAACAATTTTTTCTCTGGAACGGTTTTTTTAGTTTTATAACTCACTACATTTTTTGTTGCATTGCAACTTTTTTCATTAACAACATTTAGAAATGTTTGTCGATAATCCTCCATTACTTGTATTATTTTTTCTAAAATAATTTTACTTTTCATTTATTTCCAGTGACAAAGAAAAGTTCGATTATATTTAAAAAAACGAAAAAATGTGGGGTTATTTAAGATACTTTTTTTACAACCCTATAAGTCGAAGAATCCTCAATGAAAAACTTCCTCACTATAGAGTTTAATTTTAGACGACTAAATCAATAAATGAGAAACGCACTTCAGTCTCCCGGCGAGTCGCGGGTAGGCGGAGAAGTTGACTTTTTTTTTTTTTTGAAAACAAGGAGAAGTTGACTTTAGTAACACTCTGGTATGGCAAAATGATTTATGAATGTCTTTCAATTCATTTCTGTTGCTAATGCGAATTATGAATGTCTTTCAATTCGCCGTGTTTCTGCTCTTTCAGAATCCCCGTTATAAACATAGAGATCTGATATAAATTAATAATGGAAAAACCAGCGGAGAGCTTCCCCTTCCCCATACTCCTCGTGATCTCCTCCTGCCTTTTCCTCGTCCCCATCTCTGGACAAAGTGACACCATAACCTCCTCCCAATCCCTCAAAGATGGGCAGACCATTGTCTCCTCGTCCGGAACATTCGAGCTAGGATTCTTCAGTCCACCAAATTCTCTGTATCGATATGTGGGGATATGGTACAAAGCCACTGACCGGACTCCCGTGTGGGTTGCAAATAGACAAGCCCCGCTGAGGAACAAGAATGGAATCCTGAGGATCATCCATCCTGCAGGAGTTCTGGCCATCCTCGACACGTCTTCTAAACGAATCGTTTGGTCCACCGATGCCTCCACCCGGCCCGTGATAAATCCAGTTGCAGAATTGCTGGAAACAGGGAATCTTGTTGTGAGGGATAGGGATGATGAGAACCCGGAGAATTTCCTATGGCAGAGCTTTCATTACCCTACCAACACCTTGCTGGCTGGCATGAAGCTCGGGAAGAACTTAACTTCCGGTCTTGAAATGTATCTGTCGTCGTGGAAGAGTGTAGACGATCCCTCCCCGGGGGATTACACGTATCACTGCGACAGCTCAGGGTATCCCCAGGACATCCTGAGAAAAGGGTCCAAAGTTGTATACAGATCCGGGCCGTGGAATGGACTTCATTGGAGCGGCGCACCGAACATGGTGAACAACACTATGACCTCATTCAATCTCGTTATGAATAAGGATGAGATTTACTACATATATGAGCTGGCCAACAAGTCGGTGATTTCCACCCTTGTGGTGAATCCTGACGGAGACACCGGGAGGCGGACATGGGTGGATAAAACCCGATCTTGGCAAAACTACCACTCCGTTAAGGCCGATGATTGCGACACATACGGAATGTGCGGCGCGTATGGTACTTGCAATGTTCTTGATTCCCCCGTGTGCCAGTGTTTGGACAAATTCGTGCCCAGGCATCAAGAGGATTGGGAAAGGGTGGATTGGTCCGCGGGTTGTGTTCGGGAGGCTGCTCTGAATTGCACCGGGGATGGGTTTCTGAAATATGCCGGTGTCAAATTGCCCGACACAAATATTTCGCGTTACAATGAAACGATGTCGCTGGATGAATGTCAAAGTGTTTGTGCGAAGAACTGTTCGTGTATGGCGTATTCGAGCTTGGACGTTAGGAATGGAGGGAGTGGGTGCTTGCTCTGGATGGGAGACTTAGTTGACACCCGACAGCTGTCTGAAGATGGACAAGAAATCTACATAAGAATGGCACACTCTGCCTTATTAGGTATGAACAAATTAAACATATATATATTGTCTCATTTAGTACTACTAGATGGCGGGAGGGATGAATGAATTTTGTTGGATGGCTTATTCTGTAGGGGGGTCTGCAAAAACAAGTAGAAGACAGATTGTTACTGTGGGGTTGCCATTGATTATAGCTGCAGTTCTTGTATCCCTAGTATTTGGCACAATCTTTTGTTTCAGGAAGAGAAGAATGAGTCCAAAGATCACAAACAATGGTATGGCAGAAGAAGTGTGTTTTCAGATTTTTATGTACCAAACAATATGAACATTTTTAGGAAATCACTGCGATTATTATTTGTAAAAGAAATAAAAAAACCTGCTGCGTTGACTGTTCATAATCATGCTGCTGCAGTTTTTGCTGCCCAAAACTACAAGGAATCAAGTGGTGGGAGACACAGTGAAGATTTGGATCTGCCTCAGTTTGATCTCTATACATTAACTCTTGCCACAGACCAATTTTCAATACATAACAAGATTGGAGAAGGGGGCTTTGGACCTGTTTATAAGGTATGAGCTCAATATAATATTCAATTGTGTACCTTATTTATTCACTGAAAAGAAAACTTCATTACAATGAAAAGGAAAACTTTGTTAAAATGAAAAAGAAACTGGTACATAGGCAGGCTGTGTACTCCCCCCACTCCAAGAAGCTAGCATCTAGACTCCAGACAAACCAAAAACCAAAGGATTCCTATTGAATGAAAAGTCCCCAAACCGAGAACCGAAAACCAAAGGCACTACACTTATCCCGCGAAAATAGAGCGAGCCTTCAGAAAGTACACCGATCTGGTGCCTAAAGGCATGAATCATCTCTTTGAAAGAGGTCCAGGTGCATTTCTTCCTAGGCGTACGCGTCTTTTTCCTCTCGAGCCTTATCCTTCATCTGTACCGTCTTCTAACTCCAGCTACGAGTAGCCAAAGCATTCTGCAAACTGTCCTACTGTATGAAATCCAAACTAGCCTGCTGCCCATTATTGCCAAGTATTCTTCTGCATGATCTTTACAACCCCAAGAACCCTATATTCTGCAAATAAGTAAATTGACAAAACAGTCCAACCCTAAAACAATTCTCCGTTCAAAATCGATTACCAGTCTGAAAAATGTATTGAAGATAACGGAACTCAAAACTAATTCCGTTTTGAAAGTTCAGGACCCCGGTCTTTACTGCGCTTTTCTCGGCTTCTGTTTACTTTCTTTCCATTTGACACTTTTGTATATAAGCTCTGTAATAGTGACTTTAATAAGCAGCAGAGAATGAATTTTCATTTTCCTCCATTGATGAGTATCTCTCTGGTCTTTCAATTCCTCCAAGAATCTGAGGGGCTGTTTGGCAACTTCTGAATAGGTAAGTGCTGAACCAGTAAGAGGTCTGAACCATTAAGTGCTGAACCAGTAAGAGGTCTGAACCATTAAGAGCTAGTATATTGCTTAACTATTCAGAGGCAAATGTCTGATCAATTCAGATAAGAGGTCTTAACCATTCAGACTCTGTATAATACTTAACCATTCAGAGGCAAATCTCTTAACCATTCAGACATCTGAACCATTAAGAGGCTGAAACAAACAGNTAAGTGCTGAACCAGTAAGAGGTCTGAACCATTAAGAGCTAGTATATTGCTTAACTATTCAGAGGCAAATGTCTGATCAATTCAGATAAGAGGTCTTAACCATTCAGACTCTGTATAATACTTAACCATTCAGAGGCAAATCTCTTAACCATTCAGACATCTGAACCATTAAGAGGCTGAAACAAACAGTCTGAACCATTAAGTGCTGAACTATTCAGACATCTGAACCATTAAGAGGCTGAAACAAACAGCCCCTGAGTTTATATCTGAATATCTCAATTGATAACATGGTATCAGAGCGAGATTCTATCCCGTCTTGATCCGTTCATCACTTGGTCATTCTGAATCTTCAATTTCTTCAGATTCTGCATTTTTTTTCCAGAAGATGTCCGGTGCAACTCCGACGACGGCAACACCACTGGTTGATTGCAATCACGTGCTATACATTCATCCCTCAGATCCTTCCAATTACAAGCTTGCCACAAAACCTTTGAATGGCGATAATTACAGTCATTGTAAAAGCTGTTCTGAAGTTTCTCTCTCTGCGAGGAACAAGCTTGATATCGTCCTTGGGAGGTTCCCTAAACCTGCGGATGATTCACCTCTATCACCATATTGGGCTCGCTGCAACAATCTGGTAATTTCGTGGCTGCTTCATTCAATTGAAAATGATATTTGTGAAAGTGTCATATATTGTACCACTGCTCAAGAAATTTGGGAAGAACTTGAGCAACAATATGGCCAAGCCAATGGACACAAGATTTTCCAATTACAGCAAGAGTTAAGTAATCTTTCCCAAGGAAGTCAATCTGTTGGGGTTTATTTTGGAAAAATGAAGTCTCTATGGGATGCACTTACTGCAATTACACAGATCCCATCATGTACCTGTGAATCCAGTCAAGCTATGACAATTTATATACAAAATCAAAGGCTTATGCAATTTTTGATGGGTCTCAATCCTGATTACAAAGTTACCAGGGGAAATATTCTAATGATCAGACCCCTCCCTAGCCCAAATGATGCTTACAATGAAACTGGACCAATCTTGGACATTTTGCATACAAATAGGCAACAAAGCAAAAGTTGTTAGCATCAATAGAAGGCGCCAATCCATAGAAGTGAATAAGTCCTTGACTTGAATAGAACAATCTTGGTCTCCATAAGTTGCTTAAGTAATAGAAAAAGGAGGGAGTTTATTCTCTGTATCCCCAAACTCTCCACATTCTCAACACTATTAAGCCCCTCTCAAGCAGCCCTGATTAATTTTCCAATATCTTTCAGAAGTATCCCCTTGTGAGTTTATCCAATAATAGTTTCTGGATTTTTCTTTAAGAGTAGATAGAGTATCCTTAAGAATTCACCCAAGATAGTTATCAAAAACCTCAATTACTCTGCAAAAGATATCTCATCGTGCAGGTTGTTTTCAGGGTGTTTTGATTCCCATAAGTTTGGTTGTGACTTGTGAGTAGACTATATTAAGTTAAAAATGTGGCAACAGAGATAGGGTTTGACACAGTCTGTGACGGTTCGGTATTTTTAGAGAACCCATACCATATTGTTACTATTCAAATGGTTCGATACGATTTTGGTTTTACATCTAAACCCATTTGGTACCATGTTGTTCGATCACAGGATGGTACCATGCCATACTAATGCCAAACCATTCCATAATATTTCGACACTTTGAAAACGTTTTTATTTATAACAAACAATCAACGTAATTAAAAATAGTAGTGCACAAATAAATATATTTATGCATTCTTAGTTTCTTACTCAACATGTGTATTGCTTAGTTAAAACTTTTTAAAAAACTTAATCATAGTTCGCATTTTCAACAAATAAAATTATAACTCGAGTTGTACTTCGAGGTAATAAAGTACTATAAAAGCATAAGTTTAAGTATGTAAAAGTCACACCAAATAAATAACACCTAAACTTACTAAAAATTAACAAATGAAAATGTATAAGTAATTTACTAATTTAATATTCGGTAAGTCTAAAATGACACCAGTGCTACTGGTGTCATTTGCTTACACCAGTTCGTTTGGGGTACCTACAGTGCCAGGCAGTGTACAGGGTAAGGAGGGGGGCGGGAGGGGGGCTAGGTTGGGGGGGCAAGGGTG